AATTCCTGCGTCCTTTTTTGTTGGGCGTGGAGCAATATGGCTAAATGCACAACGAATTCCCTATTTGTCTTTACTTTACGTCATTTTTTTCCTGAAGAAAAGTCACCGAATTCCGTCAATAGCGATCCTCTCTTTCCTTCACTGCGACACGACCCGCAGTTCACATCACCACATCCCATCCTGTCACCATCACCAGCACACCAAAACCGAAGTACAACCCCCTCCCCGCTAAAAACTCAAATACGTCCCCTTGTTAGGAAGTGCGGATTGCTTAGTTGACCTCGCATGAAGGATGAAGCTCATCTCGCAGGTGGTGTCATAATTCACGTGAAGAGTGTGGCCGTACTCCCCTTCGAAGGGAGCTCCGCCTTATCGCCAGCTGTGGCGGGGCTCCGAGTGCTACCATTTGGCACAAATACGAAGCGATCCCGGATAATGAACATCATATATTGCAAAGCCATGGAAAAATATTTACCATTTTCATAATTGTTTACCTTTAGCCTTCAAACATTTCCTCATAATCGACCTGCTCACAGGGTTCGGCGCCCTTTGTATGATTTTTCCCCAACGGTGTGGAAATATATAGGAAAGAGAGGTGCATTGTTAGAAGTAGATTTTTGGGAAGTTGCTAAGAAATTTGAATATTTTGCTGTTTCAACAATTTCTGATGACCGATGCATTTTTGGTGTTTTTCGAACAAGGTCAGGGTCTCAACGTGTAAGAATGAATAGATTTCCGCGCAAGTCCCGCCCATCTTCTCGAACTTTGCCCACTTGCATGTCAAGTCCATGTACATAGCTAAGCCCCTGCTTACTGCTTTATGTGCCCTGATACACATTGTGACAAGTGTAAGGTTCAAGAATGCTTCGAAAAGCTGGCTTGACTGGAGAAAAAACGAACGCTTCTCAGTTGTTTACTTATAAATATACTTGTTGGGTTTCTTATTTTATTCCTTTGCTATCTTCATTAATTACCTTCATCATTTTTATTTCTGCATTATTCTCTTCCCTTCAATTTAGCAAAGGTTGGATTTATGTACGGATGAAATGAGTATGAGTAACAATATATGAAGGGTAGTCAAGCAAGCAGAGGCAGATAAATAAAAAAGGCTATCGCATACAATGAGAATGCATAGTGGGAATACCAGAGTAGCCAGAAAGGGATGGTGGCAGAAACTGGTAAAAGTGCAAAATGGGAAGTTAGAGATTGTGGGCTAAAAGGCCTGTGATGAGCGATAATGGGAAACGACGGAGCGAGGAACGAGTGTGAGCAGGAAGCAGGAATGGAAGCTTGGTAGCAGAGGATCAGAGAGCTGTTCAATGGAGTATTTAGAGTATTTAACAGGGTGTGGGTGGAACAAATCGCATACAAAAGTCAATCACTCACTCTGGCTAACGCATTTTCAGATTTTCGACCGCAACAGGGTGCCGTTGTTTATGACGGGTTTACTGAAAAAATATTCCTTCTACGTCCCCCCCCCCCTCATAAGCGGAAAGCAGACCCTTCTTCATTGCTCTCACCGCATTTACATGACGTCATCGTCATCACCGGCGAGCTCAAGGAGGCCTATCGTAATCTCTTCCGCCTGAAGTTGCTACATCACTTCTATCTGATTTTTTGATCGGTAGCTTCTTAAAGTATGTAACAGTAGTTTGTAATTGTTGTAATTGTTTATTGCATAGACTGAAGCCTATGCGGTACAAGTAGAATTAGATAACCAAATCAACAGTCCTACAAACAATGAAAGAAAAAAACTAATTAAGCAATCTAATAGATATACAATAACTACGAAAAATAACCTCTCTACGACGCAAGATCGTATTTTGGCTATGCGAGTCTTCTTCCGTCTTGCGTTTTAGAAAACAAACGTAAGGACCCACGATCCATCGAGGATCTCACTGAGCTCACACCTTAACCGTGTTCCGTATGAAATCTTCTGAATTCGTCGGAGTAGGAGGCTGATATGCAAGTTTGTATGGAATGAAAAGTGCTCTTTAATTTTTAGTTTGGTTCAACCCAGAGTAATTACTTATGTTCGAAGTGTGGGGGGAGTGACTTTGCCTGCCCGCCTCCCCTGCAGAGTGTGATAAAATTATTGGTTTTATATGTAATTGAACGATTTTGTTAGTAACACCAAAAGTGATTTCAGATTTCAATATTATTATATGTACTTCTTCAAAACTCATTTAGTGGGTGCTAAAAAGAGTAGTTGGAATGATTTCTCAGTCAATGAATTTCCTTCATTAATGATTCTAGCCCCACTCAGAGTCTGCCTTTATTTTTTGCCTTTTCCTTTGTTCTCCCTCCATTTGCTGCCTTCCTTCTGTCGTAAGTGAATCCTTTTGTGATTACAATCAACTTGCTTTCAGATGCCAGGATCCAGCATCACTACCGAAATATCTACAAGTGAAGAACCCTCAGTAGCACCATTTGATAACTTTGACTCGCTCGTTGAAGATATCAGAGCGGCTACGAATTCTGCTGAAGCGGTTCTGAATGATAAATCCTGTGATTCTACAATGCTGCTAAGAGCAAGAGATGAATTAAAAAGTCGGGAGCCAGTTTTATCGAAGCTCAGTGATATTGCATCTGCTAGGGCTCAATCAGGGGACGCAGGAAGGCATTGACATCGTGAGCATGATATCTGAGGAATTCAACAGTGTGCAATACGCATTGGAAGATCGCATGAGCGAATTTGTTGCTAAGGTAATGCTTTGTTCGAGTTCAAATTTTCTGTATGGTTGTAGTGTAGAGCGAACTTTCAGCTTTTCATTATGCGATGGTTCAATTTTTCGAGGTGTAGAATAGTCTACATCAACTAAATTATAAATTCCCTAGAAATAATGAAGAAATCTTTTGGAGGATAATATAGAGGGAACGAATGATGGTGTTTGGAATAACAGCAGAAATTTTGTTAAATGCAATTATTTGCGAAATTTAATCCACCCATCCTACCTTCCTCTTACTGCTTGTTTTTTTTTGTTCTTGATATAGTTTTCAAATGATATTCAAATTTTGTTTTCAGCCTGCGGAATACTCGGAATCTGTCTCCCGGATAGGTCCAACGGAAGAGCTTTCAGAAGCTGCGCTGGATGATTACGATAAGCTCGTAGAGGAAATTCGTGCAGCAACGACCTCTGCTGAAGCCCTTCTGAGTGACAACTCCGATGACCCGCAAACACTCCAGAAAGCTGTAGACAAGTTGAGAAGTCAAGAACCAACTTTAGCGAAGCTAAGCGATATTGCAGCCACAATGGCTCGGTCAGGTGACGCAGAACTAATTGATATCGTGAGCTCGGTATCAGAGGAATTCAATGGCGTACTATATGCTATCGAGGATAGGATCGATGAACTGAAGGTATTGTTCTCAACGATTTCATTATTTATTTATTTATTTATTTATTTATTTGTTTATTTTTGGAATGATTATCAAGTTCACATTTTAGTGAAGAATTTGAAACTGTTGCGAATTTTTTCTTAGCGTTAGTTAGCAAAAAGTGCGTGCTTGTGGTTTGACTATCATTGTTTCACAGAATGGAAGGTTTAGGAACCTATTATTGACTAATTGTTAGAAAATATTAACAACTTTTAATTTTATGACTTGCTGAAAGAATTATGTAGCTTTGTGTATTGTATAGCCAGAAGGTTTTTACTGGTTGGATCTTAGTTTTTTCGAGCCCTCACCTTTGTCAGCTCCACCCACTGCATATTATTTATCCTTGTATTTGACTTTTCTTGATTCCTCTCCCGTTGGATATTCTTCATCTTGATAATTTGTTACCTTTTACCCTGCTCTCAGCTCTTATGATTAGTTTCTGTGAATCCGGTCAGTATACTGGAAATTTGGCCACCCCTAAATGGTGGGAGGAAGGCAGCGCTTCTGGAATTGAGGATTGTTCTAAATGTAAGTGTTTTTTAGGTCCCAACTCCTAGTGCTCCTGTTGCTGAGATTGTCATGGAAGACCAGCCGACGGGATCACCTAGCGAGTTTGACAAGCTCGTGGAAGACGTTCTTGAGGCAACGACATCGGTCGAACTAGTTCTTAGTGAAGAGATCAGTGACGTCGATGTGCTGCTAAAAGCCAGGGAAAAACTGAAATCTCAGGAGCCAATTATGTTGCAACTTTCGGACATCGCTTCAGTAAAAGCTAAGTCAGGCGACTGTAAAGAAGTAGATGTCGTAAGCTCAGTAAGTGAGCAATTCAACGCAATGCAGTATGCTCTCGAGGACCGCATCGACGAGTTCCTTGCAGAGGTAAGGCTTCACTGGTCTTGCTCTTATTTTTATTCTATTTTATTTTTATTTTTTTTTTGCATTATCTTCGAGGCATGGTGGTTCTGTCGTAGCACTATTAGAGATAACTTCAGAAGTATTCTATGAACATTGCCTAGTGCCTTGTAATGAACTGTGTCAAACTTATTGTGCGCGGCAACGAGTTTTCCGAGCGGCGTCTGCAAAACAGCTATCTACGGTCTTTGATCTGCTATAGTAAGTTACTATTGCTCCGGGTTGAATACCTAGAAGAATTCACCTTCTACCTCTTATTAACCCATAACGGACGGCCAGTGTATTTTTGCGTGCGCCACCATGTGGCGCACGCCGCCACCCAGGGTAGGGTTTATGTAGGCTTATGTGAACAGCAGGGGTAAGACGGGGCTAAAGTAGGTGTCGGAGTCTCATCATCCGAAAAAAGAGATTTCCGTTGACGACAAGTTCGTAGCCCGCCTTTCCGCTCTAAAACTAGGGTGCAAAGAATGAATGGAAGCTGTAGGTGACATTATCGAAAAATGCGAAACAACAACCCCGAGCAAGGATGTGGCTATATTTAGGGGAAGGGGTCTCGGGACGTGCGAACCATGGGTAAGCCACCCATCAAATAGTAAACTTATGTAAATTAAGACAAAATGTATGTAAAATTTATTGTAGGTTTGTCAAAAATCCAGCCGTCCAGGTCCTGGGAAGATATGTTATTCCACATTGCTGAGAGTATATATGGGTATATTAAGATTGCTAGAAACATTCCAAAAACAAAAGAAATAGTCGTGCGCCACCTTGTGGCGCACGCCGTCCGTTATGGGTTAACACTTTGACGACAGTGTGCCGTGCCGTGGCCACAATTCCCACTCGGAGGCGCCTCATTTTTCGTGATTTATTTGGCATTTTTAAGTGTTTTAAAACTACCCGTATACATTATCGAATCGCAAAACAATGTGCTCATTACTAATAATGAAATTGTTGGAGTGTTATTGGATATTGATGAAAAAATTCAAAAAGAAATGAAGCAATGCACGCACAACTGCCGGTCGTCAAAGGGTTAATAACCCTTGTGCCGTCGATGTGTGGACTAAAGTAGTAATATCGCGATGAAGTGTTCCTTACTCTTCGACTGCCACTGGTATACCTGTGTACTTTGTAACTTGACAATACGGAATATGAGCGGACGCTCTAAAGCCGAATCACGTACGATAGAAGCTCCATAGTTCTATCTTCAATAGCAATTCGCCTCATCTCGGGGGCAGAGCTCATGATGAAAAGGTTACCCATTAAACTGTAAGGTGGAGGTGGTCAGTAGTGCAGGGTTGAAGAAAAACAAGAAACGGCCCAGAACCCGAGAGTTGAGCCTCTTACTTGGCGCCGTGTTTTCGCATTGATGCGCCTACTTCGCCTGTTGCCCTCGAGGCGCGCTCTTTCTGCCAAACGGGGACTCAACAGGAGGCAGATCGCACGGCGAAAATTCAGAAACGCAGGCGGGATAGTGGACAAATCGCAGTGCATGCTGTAGTGACTTCACGTCAATACATAGAATAGGATGTACTACGTACGTCTCAAATTCTATAGAACGTGCTATTACTCGTCCGCTGACCCGTGTGCCTCTCTGCCTTCTCACCCCGCGACCGGCATCCTTTTGGGTACCTCTGCTCAACGATAGGGTCAGATGGCGAGGGGTTACCTCGGCGGGCGTGCAGAGGCGCAAGCGGCGCGGGTACGGCACTGCTAGTCCGCTACGGATTTTGCTGCGAAACGCGCACCATGAAGGGCCCACCTGCCCTTCGACTTGGTACATTCTCTCTTCATTCAACCCCATATCTTATAGCGGAACCTCCTCAATTCATATATCTTACTGAACAAATTCCTAGCACAGTTCACTGATCAGAGCGTATGACCACCAAAAAAGGTAATTTCTACGGT